CACCCTAATAGTTGGTCTAGATATCTCATTCTTGCCATACTACATCAAGCCCACACACCACAAACCTTCCATAGAGTAGGTCTAGCCCCCAGGCTACAGGTAACTTGAAATAGACAACTAGGAAGCTGTTTTTTGTTCCATATTGGAATCTTCTTTCCCACCTTCTAGGTGCAAACTCTGGCCTCATGTTCTGGCACCATTTGTATCTTGAGTTTTCCTGTGTATTCCTGGCTCCTTCAGATGCTCAGAACCAAGTAAACACAGAGATTTATAAACTCTATGATCATGGGAAATTTCTTGATATCTAGTTCTTTTTTATTATTTTATAATTTGATTTTATTTTACATATCAGCCATGGATTCCCCTGTCCTCCATCCTCCTGCCTACCCCCCACCCCCCGCGTGCAACCCCCAGCCCATGCCCCATTCCAATCTATCCAGAACAAGGACTCCCCTGGAGATGGATTCAGCTCAACCTGGTATTTCAGTCCATGAAGGTCCAGTCCCCTCCTCGCAGGCTGAGCAAAAGTGTCCTTGCATAGGCCCCATGTTCCAAACACCCAGCTTATGCACCAAGGACATGTCTAATTACACACAATGGATCTCAGAATAAAAATATTCTGAGTCCCCCTCTATATATGAAGGGTGGGGCCACACTTCCTCTAAGGTTTCAGTGCGGGAATGAGATGGAGAATTGGCAGGGTTTGACTGAGGAAGGTTTGAAATATGAAGGGTCGGGAGGACTGGAAAATAAGTGTGGCATCTACCAGTAATGCTACAGTGAGAGAAAGAACTCAGGAAGGATTTAAAGTTTTTAAGATTTCATAAATTAAATGATGGGACAGGTTATAGTGGGAGAAGTTAGGTAAGAGTGATCCACAGATTAGTTTCTTTGATTTCGAAATAAAGAGCTAAGCTGTGGCTAAAGCGCAAATACAAGGTACCCATCCCTGAGTGGTGATGTCTAGGTTTTTTTTTACAGATATGCTGCACGTGCTAAGTTGGGTCCCAGATGATGTCCTAGGGCCCCAAGTGCTTAATTCTCTCTTTCGCTTACATAGCCAAAGAAGGGCTGAATTAAGTCTGGAAGGTTTAATGGGAGCCTCTGAAGACCTGTGAGGGGGCATTTCATAAACAAATCTGAGGACTTGTGAGGCAGAGCAAGGCAGACCTCTGTGAGTTAGAGGCCAGCATAATCTAAGGAAGGAAATACACGACAGTTACCAGGGCTACACAGAGAAAACTGATTTCTAAAAACCAAACCAAACAAAAACAAAACAAACACACAAATAAACCCTATTCCTGGGTTTGAGATCTCTCTTCTTATTGGTTCCTAATCTATGTCTATCCGAATAGGAGGTAGTCAGATTGAATAAAATAGTGCACAGAAGTGTTTTACCAGCTAGGTTCCTGGCTAGAGTCCAGCTCTTCAAATTAGACATTTGAAGGAGCTGGTAAAGTCATCAACTTTACCTTGTTTTTTTGTAGTCCTGTTAGCTTCAATTTTACCTAAATAAGGCAGGATGAGTATATGTGAACAGAACATATCTATCAATTGCTTAAGGGACTGTTATTAAAATACTCATAGTGTAACCAATTTTCAAAAGGACCTCTTTTTTAAGAACAACATTGATCTCACATAATTTTACCAAATTCTGTGCTTTTATGTACAAGGACTACTCAGTATTTCTGTTGTATTATGTGTATGTGGATTACAAAATAAAAACAGAGACACTGTTATGTGGTACATTTTTAAGCACACTGTTACATGTCTAGAGATTTTTTAACTGAATATTTCTTTACAGAACATCTGTATTGTTTTTGACCTTATGAGACAAACCCTAAACTCCTATGATAGTTGCAGTTTAACAGGGCTCAGCCTAGTGTATGTGTTGTCACATATCATTTATGGTTGGCTTTTCATCCCTGGTTCCCTGAGAGCCTAGCTTTCTGGCTTAGTTATCAGGGACCCAGGATTGCTGCTGAAGCTCTGGGAAGTTGTTGGTCCATGCTGACAGAGAGGAGCAAACTGCAAACTGCTTATAAACACCATTTAATCTACATGCTTTTCAGCAAATGCTGACATTAGTATTTTTGTTCTTGGCCTTTCAGAAGAGTACAAAAATAAAACAAAAAGAAACAACATCCCTGTGTCTGTCCTGAAGTACTATTTATCTGAGAGTAAGACAAATCATTACAGACTTTAGAATCTGAGAGATACTTGGAGGGTCCTGCTCCTTACTCTCGGTTATTCATTTTTTTGGAACTGTTTTCCCTTTGACAGGAACTTGAGGTACATTGAAACCCACTATCAGAGTATATTAAGCAAAGCAAATAGGGAAAAGTTGCATAGGACAATGGAAATAACCTTTGT